TAAAGTGAAGGATATAGTAGAATGGAGCAAGATATTGGAGGAGGCTTTGGTTCTTAATGGGCCGTAACGCCAGTAAGTAAGTCTATTGAAAAATGTACTTAGAATTTGTGAGAGAGTAAAAAATACAGCGTCGTCTGATTAACATTTGCAACATACAGATTTAATTCGTGATGATTAATAATGATACATCGAATCAATTCTGGACGTCTGGTGTGTATTCTAGCTCTCTTAAATATAGAAGTATTCTTTTATATCAATTAATTTCTTATCAAACTATATTGATATTTTTTTGTTTTTGTAAAATTGCATCCAAAAGGAAATATAATGGACTTCTTTATTTGACTAAAATTTTCTAAAACCTATGCTTCTTTGATAAATCATGTGAGTGGCGTTAATGGTTCGTTCTAATATCCATTTCCACCATTTCATCTTCTATGTGAGTTATAGTCAGTAACCCTTAAATGAAGTTTCAATGCACTCAAAAAATCCACTATCCGATATTTAGAATGAATACGTTGTTTTCTTTCCTTATTACTTTGTGTCAACATTTTCTTAACTTGTTTTCGATACCTTAACTCCCAAATTTGAAATATTTGTTTTCGTTTCCTCTACACATTCTAAATAACATTAGTTCAACCAGTACTTATAAACGAGGTTTGATTCTGGAATGTGTATCTCACTTCAGGTTAAATTTATTTTAAAATGTTATAGAAAACAGCCACCCACTGATGTTCAATTATCAACGTTAAACATTTCTGCTGTAAATCTCACCACACTTTCAAAATTTAGTTTCTCTGATAAGTTCGTTCCACTAAATAATTGTACCTTATTTTAATATGCACCCTATCGCAATTTAGTTAATAAGAAAAATATATAAGAATTGGTTCAATTCAAATGTAATTTCTCATACTAATGTCTATACCTGAATAAAAAATAAAGATGTTTAGAAAGAAAAGATTAGGAACTATGAAACTCAATTTACAAAAGGAGAACATATAAATAGATTTCTAATAGGTTTTACATCGATTAACGGCTGTAATTAAGTACTAAAATGGTTTTATCAGAGTTTTCTTAGAAAGTTAAAAGTTCTTAAGTTCGAGTTTATTTTCGAGAAAATGAAATACTTGAGAGTTGATATTTTGTCCCCGATTTTAGCGTTTGTTCCACTGTGCGACACTCTGGATACACGCAGAACTGATGTAAGTGCCACTAGAAGACATATTATGCGTATCCGAATTCCACATGCCTAATCAACCTTCAAGTCCTTATGTCATTCAAAGGGACATTATTTATACAGCGTCCTATCCCAAACACTGGGCACTAAATCTAAGAGGAGAATCCTAAGGAAATTCTACACGTGTTACTGAGTAGCACCTAATGACCTAAATTTCTTTTTCGCTGAGTCCTTCAGAATAAGCCTCAGACTTGTTCGCATCCGTTTCCGAATCTTCGAACTCTATTTAATCCTGATCTATTTTATTTGTTTCACATTACACTCAACGACATGATTGCTTTCGATATCAAAATCTGGAACGTTTTATTATTGGGAGGGTAAGTGGATTCCCTTTTATTGGACTAATGAAATTATTCGACTATTAGGAATATTGCAGATATTGTAAACATCAATATAGTCTCATCAAATATTGATTATAAACATATTTATATAAAATCAACCAGTGTTAAAAATATATATGCTTAAATATTTCATTAAAGTATGAAAAAGTTCTTTATCATTTTCAAAATTTTAAGGATTAAAAGTTCAAAGTCTGTTGTTTATTTTAAACGAAAGATTTAAAGATAAATTATGAAATGTTTATTATTATACTGCATGACTAAAGATCATGTTAACATCCGGAGCAGGTCAGCGGGACCGTCAGATCAAGTCCAGAGTAACTTGCCTAAAATATAAATAGTAACTTTTATAAACCAGAACCACAGGCGGATCTAGAGGCTTGTGTTGCCCAAAATTGGTCTTGGTCTTGCACTCTGCAAGACCAAGACCAAGGCCGCATAACTGTTGCAAGACCAAGACTAGGAATGGTAAAAAATCGATTTTTTGAATAAAAATGAAGGCAAAATAGTTACTAATACTTGACAATTTTAGTTACTATATGTAGATAATTGGCACAACCAATATACTTTTGCATTTAACTCCTCTAATTTTTCATTTAGGCTTAGTTAGGTTTCTCCTATCTAAAAAATTACATTAATATCTCTCTACTAATTAGCTAATAGGTAACTGCAAGACTGCAAGACTGACAAGAGTCTTGCGCAAGACCAAGATCTAGACCAAGACTGAGTTTGCAAGACCAAGACTCGTCTCGGTCTCGCATTTGGGCAACACTACTAGAGGGGGCTTTCGGGCTGGAGCTCTCCCCTCCCTTTCCTAAAAATAGTAAAATATAACCAAGTGTTATGAAAACAATTATCTCTAAAAGTATTATTGTTCGTCTAATTACATTTAATAGGGCTTCAAGAATCACTTAAACACCACTTCATATAGGTAATTAGTTTCTTTCTTTTTTCCGATGTAATTATCCTAATATATATAACATAGAGACCGGTAACCCTCTGCAATTTAGGCCTCAGTGCATTAAACGTTGTGTTCACCAGTCTCCGAGATATTTCAGAAATATCTCTATTCATTTTTTGAGTATTTGAGTAATTATATATATATATAATTGCTCAAATACTCAAATGCTCAAAAAATGAATAGAGATATTTCTGATGGATTTTTATATTATTTTTAAAAATTAAAATATCCTATTTTTTTTTGTTACCAATTCTCTTATTTGTTGGTAAACTTAAAAAGTAAATAACCAGAATTCTGAATTTTTAATGAATTACAAACTAAAGGATAGTCTACTTCAAGAATACTCAATGTGTAAACCATTTTTCAACTTTTTTTCTATTTTAATCCGGTAATATTCTCTTTGACAATGGAAAGACATCATATTGAACCAGAAGTTCGAGTTATTGTTCGTTGTTGAGTGGTCAAGAGGAAGTCGCAGATGTAGTTGGCGTATCACAATGTATGGTCTTCCGAACTTTAACCACATTAAGAGATATCGGAAGTACCAAAAGGAGTCCTATTAGTGAATCTCAGCACATTAGTACACCAATAGACGAAAGATATATTGTTGGACAGTATAGGACTTTAGTATAGGAAGTCTTGGAAAGAGAGAGAAAACAAAAGAAGATATATATTGCAAGAAGCAACCCTTTAGTAGTGTCTGACAGAGATTGGCCAAGATGGTCTATTGGTTAACGTCAAATACTCTAATTCTGAAGGTTCCAACCTTCCAGGTTCGAAATTGATTCGATTTTAGCGGCCAAGCGGGATAATGCGTGTGCACAACACCGCGCGTTGCACAGCAATCCAGTTCAAAGATAGATAAAATGACTAAGAGTTCGCGTCTCGGTGCCAGGGGAAGGAGACTTTTTAACTCTGGCATTAATTTCCCGCCCTCGCCCCTTGGTCCTGGAAAATCCCTTAGGCCAGGAAGGGGACGACCTCCAAAAAAGATGTCTGACAGAGCCTAAGTGAAGTGTTGAATGTTCTGCCAAGATCCATATCAATACAAACCATTCGTAGTGGTTTGTGGGAAGTTGCTCTAGCATCCCGTCCCCCTTTCAGACGACCTGCAGCAACAGTGCGTTACTGCCAACTCCGCAGATTATGGTGCTTTGGTGAGAATACAAATTGGAATGCTGTTATGTTTACAGACGAGTCGTTTTTCTGTATATATATCGATATTAAGGCGCCGAAGAGTCTACTGAGAACAGGGGACACAGTCAGTTTGTGCTTCCTTCAGTGCTGTCCCTTGGTGGGAGTGTGGAGGTATGGGCCGGCATCTTCTCAGGAGGACGAACTCACCTCCATATTGTGAAAGATAATCTGATTGGTGTACTTAATGTTCAAGAACTTTTAAAGGAGTACATTCGCCAAACCAGGGCCATAATTGACCTATATTTACATTTTTTATCGACATTACGCAACCTCAAAGGTGAAGTGTTGTTCATCAATGTCTTGAAAATCTGGACCTTTCACATCTGCCGTTACGGCATTGTCTCTAGGTCTCAACCCCATTGAGCACATGCGGGTACACTGCGGAGAAGATTTTTTGACCAAAATCTGCAGCTTCTTAACTTTCAGCAACTGAGAGCAGTATTACCATGTTTATGGTATGAAAATCCTTGAAAACAGTGAAAACGTTAAAAACAGTATGAAACATAAGTACAGGGAGGTAGTGCATAAGTATATTATACAAATTTTTTAATTTTATAAAATTTTTTACAATTCGGAATAATAAAAACAAGATCACTCAAACCTTTAAATTTATTGTTTCCTGAAATACCTTTTATAAAATTTCTCGAGGTCGAATACAATCTTATTTTTATTATTTTCAATGTATTTTATAATAAAAATAAAATATAAATTCTAGAGAAAAATAAATCGTACATAACTAATAATATATCTATTAATTTTTGAGTAGTTATATAATGTAGATTTTTTCTTTATTTATTTAATGTAATTTGGCATGTGTTATTGCTTGGTATTTTTATATGTTGTTAATAAGATGCATTATATTTTTAAAAAATATATTAAATTATATATACAATAATTGAATCATCAATGGTCGATAAAAAATTGAACTGATTGATAAAAGTTTAAGTCAAGAAAACACAGGAGGGATAAAAGAGTTTCCTTGGGAGAGAGAAGAGAGGAGTTTTGTAGAGTTTTAGCCGAGGGTGAAGCTGGTCTCCTTATCGAGGCGGGGAGCCACGTCAGAGCAAACAAGCAAACAATCAACACGAAAAGCAATCAAAACATGTGTTTCTCCCGTCGGCCTGTTTGCATAAGGACTGAGGGGCCCAAACAACTCATATTTAAATAAATAAACTTCCACCTCCCCCGGAGGGTACACATCCATTTCAGTTTGTTTGTTTAGCTCCTTCCCCCCTCCACATCGTCCGCTCCCTCAGTACCTCACGAGGAAGCGGCGGAGATGCACCTCATGGATTTGTCTCCGGAACAGCTCTACTTCCCTTCTCAGGGCTACATCCACCCGGCCATCCTCCCCTACCTCCACCACTGCCTCGCTTCGGGGGCGCCCTCTTCCGTCTTGCAGGTAAGTCTTCCGAAAAGGCGCTGGATCGGAGATCTCAATACAATATACTTGTAGGAACATTCACTTACACTTTAGAACTAGAGGACTAAAAATAAACGACTTTGTCTATTATTCTTTAGCAAAACGTTACATTACAAGATATGCTACCTTACTGTTACAGACTATTCATGAATGATTACATCCTTACATGCTGGTGGTATGTTAGTAATTTATAGTTACTACAAAATATTAATTTAATATTTTTTCTTATTACTTACTTCGGCACAACTGTCATTCATTATTTACCGCTTATTATGGAGGCGATCAAGGGTATGTTAAGACAACAATTGTCTAAATGTTATCATATATCTAACTTAAATCTCATCTGCTCTTTAATAAGCACATTATTATAACAGTTATGTCCAGCAAGGATTTTACATTGAACAATGTTTTAATCTTGAGAAGACCAAGAAAAATAATAATAAAATAGTTTGAACACTATATGTATATATATATATATATATATATATATATATATATATATATATATATATATATATGTATATATATACAATGCATCATGTCATAATAATAATTACATAGTTAACTATTATTAATACTTACTTGAATACACATGATGACAACTAGATACTTCTTTTAACCGATTTTTTCTAATTTTATTTATTTTTCTAAGTAATAAGAAAACATAAACAAGGAAGCACATTAATAATTTTTTTACTATCTTTAATTATATTGTCATTATTTGGTGTATGGAAATTTGCAATGGAAAGAATTAAATAAAAACTTAAATTTATAATTTCATAAGGAATTTCAAATTATCTAAAAATATATCAAATATACCAACTGAAAAAAATATATGTTTCTAATTTTACATTAAGCGAAGATCTGTTGTGGTTAATTCTGTATAAAACACCAGGGTTCTTACTATATAATTAGTTTGGTGAGATCTTATAATTTTTAGTATATACTATCATGTTTGGTCAAAAAGGATTAAATTCATAATCGTGAATTAAATGAAATAATCGTGTAAATTTGACATAATTAATCAATGTATTATGTATTGAATATGTTGAAATCTGATGGCCTTAAATTTATGGAATTTTAATTTAATTAATTATTTTTTTTAATATTAATTTTGAATGGTAAATAGTCAAGAAATTTATTTTGTATGCTGACCGTTAAACCTAAGAATGTGGGTCTCCTGATATTTGTAAAAAGACATGATCATTTGTAAAACTGAAAAGAGAGAAGTAAATATCAGAAAAAAAAATTAATAATAGTATGTCTTAATTCACAGATAGTTTGCAGGTTTGCCATATTAAGCCTTCTTGACCCCTCAGTACTTGTAACAATATATATATATATATATATATATATATACTGAAGAGAATTTTTCTAAAAACATTTTATTCATCTTATCTTATCTTATAAATCAAATGAAACATTTTATTTTCTTATATTATGTTATTCAAAAATAGTATTACAATTATTTTTAAAGAAATAGATTTTTTAGAGTTCTCTGAGATATTGAATCACGTATTCAGTTTGATTTTCTTTTTTTCTACTTGTATTTTATTATAACTACTCTTTTTTTAAATGGGTGCAACACTAAAAATATTCTTTTGAAAATTTAAATGAGATTTTAAAAAACGATATTCCAAAAGACTATAAAAGAAGTGAAGTTCAGAAGTCTGTTTAATGTTTTTGAAATTATGGAAAAGCTTTTTATCCAAAATATCGTAACAGACATTTGTCAAGGGACTGGATAGAAAGCTTCTTAAATTTTTATGAAATATTTTAAGGCCAGATTTTTTTTTTTTTTTTTTTAGGCAGAATAATACAATTTTAAATCATTAATAAGATATATAAAAGAACAGATAGTGTTAATTACGTATTGAATTTTTAATGTAGCTATGTAGCTATGCACGTAGTATTTTTTATAATTTTGTTATTTCTGATGATAGCACGATCAAGCAATCAGGCTGTTTATTTATAATCAGAAAACGTTCATTATGCGAATGAAATAATCGTGTCAATTTGACATAATTAATCAATGTATTATGTATTGAATATGTTGAAATCTGATGGTCTTAAATTTATGAAATTAATTTAATTAAATTAATTAGTTGATTTATTATTAATTTGGAATGGTAAATAGTCAAGAAATTTATTTTGTTTGCTGACGGTTAAATCCAACCATGTGAGTCACGATCACGGCTACAAGAGATAGATATGTAAAAGTAAATGGGAGAATTAATTAACCTGTACCACTACAAACCGTGAAGGGTCTTGGGTTCAGTATAATTTAAAAAAAACTGTTTCTTGGTTCAACGGTTGTGCAAGGAGATGATTCAACCGAGGTCACGCTCAACCGCCCGATTTCCCTTAATTAATTAAGAGTACCCCTTTGATAAAAGCTGGATATACTCCAAGGAGGTCTCCATACCCCAGGGTCGATCCACAACCAATGAAGTTTAATAAATAATTACCTGTCTTCAGCCGGATTAGAACCCGGTATCTTGAGCTTTAGAAGTCAATGTCTTACCCACTGAACTACCTCGCTTCCCGAGAGAATTAATAATATGTAAAATTTAAAATAATTAAGTGATACTAATATAAATTATAATAGAGATGTGATTAACCATAAGTAAAATTATTTAGTTATTACTTTAATTGTATTTAATATTTTTTCTTTAATTATATTAAAGAATTATTTTATTATATTAATTTAAATAATAATATTATTGATTAATTCTTTAATTTTACTGCTATTTTTAATTTTTTTTTTTCTGACATTTACTTCTCTCTTTTCAGTTTTACAAATTATCATGTCTTTTTACAAATATCAGGAGACCCACATTGTTAGGTTTAACGGTCAGCATACAAAATAAATTTCTTGACTATTTACCATTCAAAATTAATATTTAAAAAATTAATTAATTAAATTAAATTAATTCCATAAATTGAAGACCATCAGATTTCGACGCATTCAATTCAAGAATACATTGATTAATTATGTCAAATGGACTCGATTATTTCATTCGCATAATAAACGTTTGCTGATTATAAATAAACAGCCTGATTGCTTGATCGTGCTATCATCAGAAATAACAAAAGTATAAAAAACATCGCTACAATAAAAATTCAATACGTAATTAACACTATTGGTTTTAGCCATGGAAATAGCCCATATATTTGAGCCAAAACGTCAGTTTGAATAAAATATTTTAACTAATATCGTGGTGATTTAATATCCTTGACAAATCTTGGTAAGACTAGTTACTATACTAATTTATAAATTTTAATGTATTAAATTTTATTTGCCTCAGCTTATTTTAATTTTATTCCTCACCTTAATAATTACATAACTACTTACCTATAATTGTAAATATACAATACCAGTCTTCAATAAATCATATTGAAGATGAGCTCTGTTTTTCATTCACTAGGTTATAAGCTGGACTCGGATCTGGAGATACTTTTCCAAGGAACATCAAATAAATTATTTTTTACATCTAAAAAGGATCTTAAACTATTAATAAAAAAATACTAAGCAAATAAAAGTTTATTAATAAAGTATACCAATTGCGAAACGTAAAACTGAGTAGGAACATTAAACAACAACTTTTACAAAAATCATAATTTTAAGAAATTATATTAATTAGCAACAAGAATATTTATATGTTAATGGGAAATAATATTTGCTAAATTTATTTAAAATATTATTTCAAAATCTGCCACTTTCGTTTATTTGGAATGATTCCTGATTTCTACAATTAAATGTAACATTATTACGTCTTTCTTTAAAAATAAGGATTGTGAGAAAAGAGAAAAATATACAACTAAATTAATAATAAAATTACCAGTGTGTTACAAACTTAACAGTAAATGTTATTATTTGGTTGTATTGAAATATATTTTATTAAACAACATTAGTGGAACCAGGATTTAATTTTGAGATGGGGCTTCAGTCCGAAAGTTTTTTTTCCATATATATATATATATATATATTAATAATTACTTTGGAAAAAAAAAGAAAGACACTAAATACTAATATGAAATAGTGTTTAAGTGGTTCTTGAAGTCCTATTAAATGTAATTACACGAACAATAATACTTTAAGAGATAATTTTTTAATATTTTTTAGCATAAACATGGTTACATTTTACCATTTTGTGGGGGGCTTCAGCCAGAAAGCCACCCTCACCGTAGATCTGTCTGTGTCCAACAATCTATGTTTATAGCAAAGATGTCCGTGAGTAACTCACTTTCGGCATTTTTAATTCTAAGAATTTTTAATTTCCTTACTCAAAACGCGGGCTTGTATATTATTAACTCATTTTTCATAGAAAAATATTAGGATAATATGAGTATTTTCTTTTCTTTTTTTTATATTTGAATTTAATTATATATCTAATTTAGTGTACAATTACTGATTCGCCAATAGAATTGATTGATTACAATTTTGAATAAAGATCATAAATTAAAAAAAAAAGTAGTTTAGTGCAAAATGTATAATTTATATTTTTAAACTACTATCCAAGATCGAAAAAGATCTGCTGAGGTTTCCCTTAAAAAAACACAGAAAAGAAAAATTCTTTACGTGACAGTGTTGTATATTTATAAGTTTTCGGAGAAAACGATATAATAACTAAAATTATTATAACATGAAAAACGTATCAAATGAATTATTATCCTTATAATTATGTAAGTGAATCATAATAATGTAAATGGTTTTAGGTTGCAAATGGAAATGGTTAAAACCGACAAACATTACATTTCTCCGAATCACATTTTCCTGGTGGCTCTTGCTGCGATAACTTTTATGAAAATTAATTTCCATTTTGGAGCTTCGATTTCAGACTATCGGTATATTTTGTATCTCCTTTCATTTTCATACTAAATAATTCATCAAAGATTCCATTGATTTATCAAAATTCCATCGCAAGAATCAATTATTTTGAGAATGAATAAAAAAGCTTATAATGTATAAAAATATA